GTCAGACCGTTTAGAATTCAACCTCCCAATCCCTCGGGAAGCACCAAAAGAACCCTCCTTTCAGATAAGAGGATTTTACAGAGATTTTGAAATAAGAAGTGGCTGGGCATGCAGCCAACAGAGATCTGGGAGAAGTGGAGCCTGCATTGTGGAGATGGGAGACTCTCTAAGACTGGGAAAGGATCCCCAGGATGAAAGGAACATTGTGGTTTCAAGGTGGCAGGGTTTTCCTGACTTGCCCCTACTCTGCTCATGAGACACCACAGCGTAAAGTCAGATTCCTTCCAGAACCCAGACAATAAAGTGTTCTGAGTGAATGTAGGGGCCAAAGGGTACTGATACCAGCAGTCCTTGGCTTATGTGTGTTGTCCTGAATCCATGTAACATCACCAGATGTTTCCCAATATCAAAAAATTAGGAGAAACACAGCTTTCTACTTCCTAGAGACAGCCTCTTTGCTGATTCCCTTTCAGCTCCCATAAACTTGCCAAGTAGCAGACCCAGGGGGTCCACCACACCAGGTGCCTACAGGACTGCTCTCACACATGTGAAGGTACCCGGCAGAGGGCACTCAGTCTCCAACCAGCTTTCCCTCCTTCCGATTTTGTCTCCTGTGTAAAAACGGTTTGCCTTAATGATGAAATACATTTAAAAAGGTGGACATGATTCTATAGATGGGGAAATCAGATTGATTAAGGAGAACATTTGGAAGAGACAGAGGCTCAACTTTGGTAGAAAATGAAGAAATATAAAACAAAACAATTAATACCAAATTATACCCATCAGATTGGAAAGCATTAGAAAGTCAGACAATACTAAGTGTTGGATATGATGTGAGAATCTGAGAACCCTCAGGCTCTGCAGATGGAAACCTACACTGGTGCCTACTCAAGGAAATCAAGAATGAGCACCCCCCAGGATCCAGAAGCCCCACTCCCAGGTATACACCCCAGATGCTCTCATACTGGTCCTCAGAAAGACACATCCAAGAATGCAGCCAGGAGGTGAGTATACACACAGGGGTACTCAGCATACACACATCATAACTACATGCTTCTGGATTGTAAAAGAATTCAAACTATGCAGAAACATATCACGAATAATAAAAAAATTATAGTCATCCACAATCACACAGATTTATTTGCACATTCATCTATACATGTTTATAATTTATTTAAATGAGCTGATACATGTCACTTTGTGACCTGTTTCACACTCAAAAATATATAGCAAGTATTATCTCAATGTCATCATTTTTAACAGCTGCATAGTATTCTGCCATAAAGATTACCATAATTTGCTTAACCAATGCCCCATTGTTGGGTACTTAGATTATTTAAACCTTTTCACTGTCAAACAGAACTTCTCTGAATATCATTGCAGTGCATCTTGGCTTTCTCTTCTAATCATTAACATTAGAAGCAAAGAATACATAATGCGGTGGAAAATGTACATCCTTTAAGAATGGAATCGCTTGATTAAAAGTATACATCTTTTTCATTAAAATACATATTCTTTGCTTCTAATTTCCTTGGATCCAAATTTTTTCTGTTGTCTGGTAAGGTGACTCCTTCAGAGAAAACAGACAAATAGGCTAGGACTGCCATTTTATAAGCAATCATACTTACTACACTCCCTTTTATTTACACTGTACAAATTCCTACCTCGCAGGTATCCAGCATCAATCATGCAGCTAGTCTGGCACATTTTGAGAGACATCAGCAATGTAAAATCCTTGAGAGCTCAACATTCTTTTGCTAAAAATATCTTTATTAAATGCCAGCTTGTGCCTGGAACCACACTAGGTATTAGGGAAACACAGAAGATTAATGCCTAGTCCTGCTCAGAAGAAGTTCAGCGACACTTGACTCTGAAGAGATGGAATTCAAAAATCGAATGTGCTTTGGAAGCACAGAGGGGCCCTAGCTGCGGAGGCTTCTCAGAGGAGGCAATGGCAATGAGGTCAAACAGCACCGAACTGACCATACAGTCTTAGTGACAGAGGGGACTCCAGGCAGAGGGTTAGAGTGGGACAAGATGCTCAGGCCACGCAATGCCTCCGGAGAATCCCCGGAAGTCCAGCAAAGCAGGAGGCGCACTGAGCAGAGCCGGGATGGGGGCTCAAGAGGGAAGCGGCACCCTGGTCTAAAGAGTCAGCCTTGCCCACACATTAAGGAGTTTGTATGCAGGGAGAATTGGCAGGGAGGGGTGGAAGAAGGATGAGACAGGCATTCCTGCAGACGAGGGAGGATGGACTGGAGAGGGACAAGGTTGGAGGCAGGAACCCCAGCTGAAGAGATATTATTGCAATTCAGGAGCGACAAGGTAGAAACAGTGGCAGGTGGAGAAGCTTCACCAGGGAAGTTGGTGTGGGCAGAGGTGAGACAGTCTCTAGGAGACTCAGGTGGTGGAATTTCCAGGACTCGGTGCCTGCATGCTAAGGAGTTGCAGAGGGAGAAAGGAAGGAGGGCCCCCAGCTAGCACAGCAGGCATTTGGTGAACTGACTAACCAAGGTTACAGGCAAGCTTGGGACAAGGGAAAGGCCACAGTACAGACCCAATAGCACAGATGAGGTGCTGGCCCTGCCTTGGCTACACAGACTTGCAGAGTGTTCTAGAATCTAGCAATGACTTATTCCACTTCCTGGGATACAACTTTCTCATCTGCAAAGAAACATATGGGGACTGTGCACCATCAGGGCCCTTCCAAGCTGTAAAATGTTACAAAGTCTCCTCTAGATCAGAATCTGGGGTGGCAGCTGTCCACCTGAAAATTCACCCTAACAAGATTGCCTTCCTGGGAAGAGACATAGATCATGTCCATAACCAGCTTCTCCAATGAAGTCGTAAACTTCTTTCAACACTCCACACCCAAGCCACTAAAGATCCATCTCTTCCAGGCCAGAGTGCTGGCTTACCCACTCCAACATGAGGTTCGCACCCCTCACATCTGGGTGCATGCTGCCTTCTTTTCTCCCCTACTCCTGAGTAATAAACAGCAGACTAGCAAAATAGTTCAAATACCTTCTAAAAAAAAATACACAGCCTTGTGGACTCCATGGCCTATTTTGAGCTAAATGTTTCAAACCTCCAGACTCAGAGCTGCTCTAGGCGTTAACCTTCACTCCAACTGAACAATCAGGAAGTACGTAAATGACAATGGCACCTCTGCTGGATGGCAGGCCCGCATCAGGCATGGAGACACGAAGATGGACTGGACTTGCCAACCTCCAGGGCTCTCTGCTGAGTGCAGAAGCCAGCATGGCACGGTTGGACTGAAGGATGCACAGATTAGGGATGAGGAGGTCAGAAAATAGTGACCTCATTCAAATGTCCAGGAAAAATATACAGAGGAAGGAGGATGGGAGCTGGGCCTTGGTGGCTGCACGCACTTGTAGAATATAGTTAGGCTAGAAGCGGGAAACCACAGAGCATAAGGAGCAAGTGACAAGGGACTAAGCTGAGAAGCGCTGGTTGATGTCTGCATTGTGGACTCGGGCCAGCTTGCAAGGGCCCGGAATGCCACACCCAGGTATTGTCATACCTAGGTAGGGGCCACAGGGAGCTGCTAGAGTTTGTAAACAGAGGATTGAGGCCAGGGGGTTGAGTGGGAAGAAGACAGGAGTATTTCAACCCAGAGTACATCAAGGAGACCAGCAGAGTGAGGAACGATGTGGCCTGAGACAAGGCAGGGAATGGTGGGGTGAGCGTGAGACCGTACTTCCCCTTTCTCCATTTTCTCAGACCACTGGCGTCTAATTCTACATAGAAGGAAACACCTGGACCCAAAGTCACACACAACTGACAGCAAAGCTCAATACATAGACGGCTCCCAACTCTGCCTTTTCCTGGTCTGGTTTCTGCTCCTGCACTGAAAATGCTTCCCAGGAGAGCAAGCCCTGAAGCCCAACTTCCACAGCTGATCAAACACCAAAGCACAGTGTGTAGGCTTGGAAGCAGAGGGAGGCAGCATTGAACAGCTGACACACACACCCAGACTTCCAGGCGGGCGGGCCTCAGTAACAGGACAGGTTTGGTTCATTTCCTGCAAAAACAGGATTTCCCAGGCATTAAAGGAAATGTCCTTGCATTCCTCTTACCCCTGTCCACCAGGATGGACAGGGATCAAGGACCTGGGACATCCTTCCTAATTTGCCAGACACTTTATCCCTGAACGTGAGCAACCTACAAAAGGCTCTCCAAGATCCCTCGTGCCCCTGTGAATGTTCATCTAATGCAACTTAGGCAGGAGCCTAGGAAAGTCGTCTGCGTACTCCACTAACAGAAAGTAAGGGAGACCACCAAGGGTCACCAAGAATCCTGAAGCCCAGCTCCAACCCCTGGTGCAAAACACCCCTCCAGTGTAATCCTGCAGGCAATTCTCCCACCCCCCACGCTAGAAACTGCTTCTTTCAGTAGCAAAAAAAAAAAAAAGAAGAAGAAGAAGAAGAAAAGAAGAAGAAGAAGAAGGAGAAGGAGAAGGAAGAAAGAAGAAAGAAAAAAGAGAAAGAAAAAGTAGGCGCGGCGTGAGGGAGCTGCAGATGGTAGAAAGGAGAAGGAGTAGCGAGATTAAAGTTACACAGGTCCGGGTTCATATCCTACCTCCACCACTGAGTTTACTTAGATAAGCCATTTTGCCTCTGAAAATGTTTTCCTCATCTGTGAAATGATTATAAAAATAAATTACGGAAAAAGCTGTCAGAATTCGGAGCACTCCTGTTAGTGTTCAGCATTAGCAGAAAGTCAACAAATGGAACCAAATATTTATTTTATATATATAGTTAAAGAGAGGAAAGAAAATTCCTAAAACGTGTACCAGGAAAATCCAGACGAGCCCACCCCGGCCCCCCACCCACCCTCCCGGGCAGGGCAGGAGGCACACGTCTGGCTGGGGCGCACCAGGGCACCTGTGCGTGCAGGTGGGGCGGGCGCGCGGCGACAGCAGGTTGGCAATGCCGCCCTGTCGACCGGCGGGGGAAGGAAGAGGGCGGGAGGCCCACCTGAAGACGCGCAGCAGCAGGCAGGCGATGAGGAGGGTGGTGAAGGCGAACGCCACGATCACGGCCGCCTTGAGGGTGGGTAGGTCGCGGAGGAGGGTGGAAATGCGGGTCACCAAGGCGTCGCCGCTACTGTTGGAGCTGCCGCTGCCGCCCGCCGCCCCAAACCCAATCCGTGTAGTGTTCCCGGGCCCCGGGCCGGGAGGTGGCCGCGACTCGCGCTCGGGTTCGGGCCGCGGCGCGGAGATGGACTCGGCTCTGTTGGCGCGGGCGGCAGGAGCTGCCAGGAGCGCGAGCAGCAGCAGCGGCAGGAGCTGAGCGGGCGGCGGCACCGCGCGCATAGTGCGGTGGGTCGGCGCAGGATCAGGCAGGGCGCGCGCGGCTGAGCCCCAGGATCCGCACCAGCACGGAGGCCTGCACCGGGGGATCCTGCAGCGGAGGCGGCTGCGCGGTGCTTGGCAGGAAGCTGCGGCGCCCGGAAGAGCCCGCGCCACCGCCGCCACCACCACCAACACGTTGCAAGGAGTCATTCGACGGGCCGCGGCCCCACGTGGGCGGGGCAGGCCGCCCGGCCTGGGTCCCAGCTGCGCTCCGCCCGCCCGCGACCCCAATTCCTTGGGACCTGAGACCCCGTGGTGAAGCAGCAACTGCCACGATGACGCTCGTGCTGGCCCTGTACTGCACGTTTCACGTGTTTTATTTATTTCATTTAATTCTACAACCCCCTTTGAAGACAGGTATTCTGTTATCCACATTTGATAGTCGACTTAGTACCCAAAGAGCCAGCTCACAGCAACCCCGATTGTATCAGACTAAGAATCAAAGACTATGGGACCTAGAAGTAGACTCCCATTTTGCAGATCAAAAACTGAAGCCGACAGTAAAGTGGTTGCCTGATATCCTATGTGACGCATAATTTCAGTATCTCTCCTAATTTCCCTCTTTCTCAAAAGGAGTTTCTTATTTCCTGCGCCTCTGCTTATGAACCGGACTGGGATGTGAATCTCTGCATTCATACCTTTGCTGTGGAACACCAGTTGGTGTGGTTAATGCCCTCCTGCCTGGCTGAAGTTTCTCCAGGGAATAGTTGGCTTGCTGCCTCTGGTTTGTAACAAAGCTAAATGATGCTTAGGTGAAGAAAGACAATTAAGGAGGTTCTAGTGGGAGGTCCAAAGGTGGGAATTGATGGGGGCACAGAGCCCCTACCTGAAGTACTAGAAGCCATTCCCAGGGCTTCAGGGTTCCCCTTTTACACTGCAGATGGGTCCTGGCAGGAAGCTTTTCAGTGGTGGGTAAACAGTTAAACACACATGACAAGGTCCCAGGGACCTTAAACGGCCCATTTCTGGTCCTGCTGGAAAAAGAGACAAATATAGTACAGTGTATTAGTTGTCTATTGCAGCATAACAAATTGCCCTAAAACCTAGCAGCTTAAAACAACATGCATTTAGTATCTCACAGTCTGTGGGTCAGGAAACTGACCATAGGTTACCTGAGTCCTCTGCTTCAGGGCCTCTCCCAAAGGTACAATCAAGGTGTCAGCTGGGGCTGGGGTGTCCTCTGAAGGTTCAGCTGGGGAAGGATCTGCTTCCAAGCTCAATCAGCATTTTTTGGCCAGATTCAGCCCTGCACTGGCTGTTGGACTGGAGCCTCAGTTCCCCTGGGGCAGTTGGCCAAAGGCTGCCCTCAGTTCCTTGGCATGGGGCCCTTCCAACATAGCAACTTGCTTCATCAAAGTGTGCAAGTCAAGATAGCAATAGAAAGAGTCACCTAGCAAGACAGAAGTCACTGTCTTATAAAACCTCATCACAGAAGTGACATTCTCACACCTTTGTCATATTCTGGTGGTTAGAAGCAAGTCACAGGTTTCATCCACACACAAGCAGAAGGAATTACACAATGGCATGAGTATCAGGAAGCAGGGATCATTGGGGCCATCCTAGAAGCTGCCTGCCACATACAGTGTAATTCATTTTGATTTGGGGAGATGGACAACAATCGGATTATCAGAAGCCATCATCCAGAAGGTACTTTTGAAATGCATGTTAAATATGCATTTCATGTTAAATATATCCCAGTGGTAAGAGATATGGATAGATCACATAATTTAGGTCTCTTCTAACTCTGAAACATACCTTCTGGTATGTTAAAAATGTTGCATTAGTAAAAAGTCAACATCATCATATCAGTATGATAGAAAATGTAATAGAAAATTTTTAAAGAAATACCTCTGAGTCCATGATTTTGGAGCACTGTTCTCCAGGGCATAAACGTCAGCCACCACAGCCTCTTATTTTTGTACTTATCAGAAATTCCTGCACGATACAGCAAAGAGGTCCTAGGCTTTGAGCCTCTTAGCCGGGATGAAAGGTTTGACCACTGAATAGCCTTGGTCAAGTATTTAACCACTGAATGCCAGGTTTCTAATATCTGAAATAGGCTGGGTGCGGTGGCTCACGCCTGTAATCCCAGCACTTTGGGAGGCCAAGGTGGGCGGATCACCTGAGGTCAGGAGTTTGAGACCAGCCTGACCAACATGGTGAAACCCCTGTCCCTACTAAAAATAAAAAATTAGCCGGGTGTGGTGGTGCATGCCTGTGTTCCCAGCTATTCAGGAGGCTGAGGAAGGAGAATCGTTTGAACCCGGGAGGCAGAGGTTGCAGTGAACTGAGATCGCACCATTGCACTCCAATCCAGACAACAAAAGCAAAACTCCATCTCAAAAAAAATCTAAAGTAGGGACAAATAGTACCCAGCTCAAGGCCACTGGGAGCTTCCACAGAACAGAGAAAATATCAGTGCTGTTTTCCTTATTTTGCCACAATTTGTGGACTGATGGTCTACATCAGTCATTAAACAATGCTTGATTGTTTAATGTTAACCTCAAGAATGTAGAAAGCATAAATGTTAGATTTTTTTCATAAAGTGAAACTTTATAATCTTTCCTTCTAATCATTTGCTTACTTAAAAATTGCCCTCAATTAGAGTTCCTTAAAAACATTTTAATTCAAATAACCATAAACAATGACATTTTTAACATGGTAAATGGGCAACAAAACCAAATCTGGTTGATTTCAAAGAAGGGGAGATTATTGGAAGCATGTCATGTTGCTTCCAGAAATGACTGTAAGCTAAAGCAGAAATTCTAACAGTGGGATTTGTGGACTCCTGGGGTCTCTCAGATCCTTTCAAGGAATCTTCGAAGTGAAAACTAATTCCATAATGATAAGATGTTATGTGTCTTTTTCACTATGTTGACATTTGCACCAATAGTGCAAAAGCAACAGTGAGGAAAACTGATGGTGCCTTAGCACAAATCAAGGTAAACAATATTCATAGTCATTGTATTCTTCACAACTATACACTATAGGAAAAAAAAAAAAATCAGTTTCACTTTAGAATGCCCTTGAGGTAGCCATGAAAATATTAAATCTTGACCCTTGAGACCCTTTTAATATTATACATGATGAAATGAGAAACAGGAATAAATCACTTCTGCTGTACACTTACGCATAATGATTGACTCAAGAAAAAGCATGTTTACAATTCCTAGAGTTGCAAACTGAACTAGCCACTTTTTTCATGGAACAACATTTTTAATTAAGAGAGTGACTGATAAACTTTACACTTGGCCTTTGGCAGGCATTTTGTCAAAAATGAGCAAAATGAGGCTGTCACTTCAGGGACACACACTGACAGTATTGTAGCCAATGACAAAATGCAAGCCTTCAGGTGAAAATTAGAATTTTTAAGAAAACTTGTCAATTAGGATGTTTTTGCTATGAACTTGACAGCTTCCCAATGCTTCAAAATTTTTCTGATGATCTTGGTGGTGATATTAAGAAGTATGGGTTTTTTATATTATGTAACAAAACATATCAAAATTTGAAAGATCTGCATAAATTTTTCCAAATGGCCAATGCACAGTGTTACAAACTCATTTCTGAGTAAATGATCCACTCAAAGTATAAGATAGACCAATAGATTCTGATGAAACAAAATACAAAATATTCATTGCATGGTTTCATATTCCACATTGCAAATAATCTTTAAGAAACTACTACCTGCAAATTTTGGTATAGTATCAAAGAAGAAGCTCCACAATTACCTGAAAAGGCTACTAAAATTTTCCTCTCTTTTCTGAGTAAATATCTAGGTGAGGCTGGATTTTCTTTTTTTCTTTTTTTTTTTTTTTTTTTGAGACGGAGTCTCGCTGTGTCGCCCAGGCTGGAGTGCAGTGGCGCGATCTCGGCTCACTGCAAGCTCCGCCTCCCGGGCTTACGCCATTCTCCTGTCTCAGCCTCCGAGTAGCTGGAACTACAGGCGCCCGCCGCCACGCCCGGCTAGTCTTTTGTATTTTTAGTAGAGACGGGGTTTCACCATGTTAGCCAGGATGGTCTCGATCTCCTGATCTCGTGATCCACCCGCCTCGGCCTCCAAAAGTGCTGGGATTACAGGCTTGAGACACAGCGCCCGGCCGAGGCTGGATTTTCTTCATGTTCTTCAACCAAAACAACCAACTGCAACAGATTGAATGCAAAAGCAGATATGAGAATCCAGCTATTTTCTATTAAGTCATACATTAGAGAGATTTGCAAAAAAAAGTTAAAGACAGGCATGCTTCTCTCTAATATTTTTGTTTTAGAAAATTAGTTATTTTTCATTAAAATATCTCTCATTTTTTTTGGTAGAGACAGGGTCTTGCTATGTTGCCCCTGCTGGTCTTAGATTCCTGGTCTTAAGCCATCCTTTGGCTTCAGCACGCCCAAAGCACTGCGGTTACAGGCATGAGCCACTGTACCCAGCCAAAAAATATCTTATTGATGTTATCATGCTAATGTGTTATTTTTGTTTTTAAATGAATTTTAAAATATTTTAGACTTCATTTTAATTTATAATGCAGCAAATATCAATATGTATATTGATATAAAACAAAATAAACCAAAGCTCTTCGAGGTCCTCAATATTTCTTAGAATGGAAAAGATTCCTAAGACCAAAAAGTTATCTAAGAAATGCTAACTTCAGAGGAACAAGCTTAGGGAAACAAAACCAAACCAAACAAGCAAACCAATTAGGATACTTTCTGCTATAAAAAAACAGAAAATTCAACTTGAGCTGACATAAATAAAAAAGGAAATTTCACCCCAATTACTCTGATGTGATTGTTACACATGCGATCAGAACATCACATGTACCCCATGAATATATACATGAATATGATGTGCCCGTAATATTTTTTAAATTATTTACATAAAATGTTTTTTTAAATCACATTGTACCAAAAGTAAAAGATGAAAGTGAAATCTCTTCTTGCACATAAAGGAAGTGCCTGGGAGGGGAGGTTTCAGGATTGGTTCATTCAGCCACGTGCATAATGTCAAGGGTCCTAAATCTTTCAATCTCTCCACTGCTGGCCACAGCATTGACTTCAACCTTAGAAGGGTGGCCGCCTGGTCACAAGATCCACAAGGATAGCTAGAGTGGCAATCAGGGTGGAATGCTTTCTTGCTCACATATAGCAGGTGAGAGAGGAAAATACTTTTTCCAACTATGGAACATAAACCCTCCTCTCAGTCTGATCGGTCCATCTTGAGTCACAGCCCAAGGACTATCATGCCCTGATTGGACTAGACTTGCCTTGGAACTAGGGTTAGGGCACCCCTCTCCCTAGGAAAATTAAAGAAAAAGAAAAGGTTGTGTTGGGAACAAAGGGGAAGACATGGATACTTAACAGGCTGCAACGCCCATTCCAACAAGCAAGAAACAAGGAACTGAGTCTGTCTGGATTTATAGAACCAAAGCCAAAATCAGACCCAGGAAGGATCTGGTTAGGAAACAGCACTGTCCAGCAGATGTCTCGCAGGCTCCACCATCACCACTGCCTCCTAAAGCCACCAGACAGTAGATGCCACTACTGTGACCATGGCTCAAAGAGTGCATT